GGGGGGGGGGGGGGGGGGGGGGAGCGCTTATTCAAGGGGGACGCTTAATCGAGGGAGGGGGTGCTTATTTATTTTTTCTCAAACTGTGGAGTGACATGATCATTTTCTTAGTACATCATCTGCGTGTAAACAACAGCATAAGCTGTTTATCAACATAAAAAGCTGATCCTTAAGTTTAAATCGTGGCACCGTTAGTACTTAACTTGTTCAACGTTTTCACTTACACTGTAACACGTTCTCAAACTGAAACAATGTACAAATCTAATACTACATGACGAAAACTATATATCCTTTGTTGTCTCATTACTCATCCACAAAATGGTCGAAGGTGAGGGGGCGCTTATTCGAAGCGAGGCGCTTATTTTAAATTTTAGCCAATAGGAGGGGTGCTTATTCGAGGGGGCACTAATTCGAGGATTTACGGTAAGTAGCTTAGACTATTACTTTGACACTGAATTGCTGATTGGGCCTGGCTGCAATTGTTTGGTTTCAACTCAGGTTGAATGAGATCTTTCTCCTTGTACAGCTGTAACAGGCAAAATTTGGTCCAAAGTTGCAGTCAACAATAAATTGAATTTTTTCATACATGGTATTCATGCATCATAGGGGGTCTTGAATATACTCAGTTGCTGGTGCCAAAGCCAAATTTCTTTCATGCAGTGGAGTGTAGGTGAATACTAAACTGCAGCAGACAGTAATTTTCATATACATGTAGAGCCTATTTTGGATCCACAATTTAAAGACAGGATGTCAAGTCAGACATCCATCATCACACAGAAACACCTCTGCACTTTTATTTCTTTCATATGTTCATCTTATATGTTCTACTCTGGTAATGTTATTTTCTGTATCCAATGTTACACTGATGTATGTATGTGGAATAACAAACTGAGTAGCATTTACCCGTGGCCCAGTATCAAGTATCATTTTTTATTTATATATTAAGACCCTTCTTTTCATATTTTGCGATTGTGCAAAGTTCACTTTTTTTGCTATAACTTGTGCCAAGTAAGTGACTAATTAATAATCTTGTACTGTAGATGACATCTCCAGGGCTATCACAGAATGAGGGGAGAGTAAGAAGCATTGTGGTTTTAATTTTAGATGCTTACATATAAATCTCTTGACCCACAATAACTAGATCCCTTTGATTCATTTCATCATTCTATATTTTTAAGGGCCCTCTGCCAGTCAGCTGCCTGCTGGTCCAGCACCAGAAGAAAGAGTGACAGGAGAAGTACCTGGAACTTCAGCCCAACATCAAGAAAATTCCAGTGGAGTGAAAAGTAATCTGAAACGGAAAAGTTCCGATCCAAATCCCGAACGAGGTATTCATAATGGCTGAGAATGATTATGTTGGTCTAAATCATGCAACTTTTAGTTCTATATGTACTTTCTGGCTATGATTAGGTTGGAACATACCTCAGAAGTCGTTCTATTCATTTGTTTTCCTTGTTTGTTTCTGTGGTTTTATGACGACGCATTGACCATATTAATACTAGTATGCAGACTAAGAATTTGTCGCAGACATACTATAAAGGTAAATATGGGAAATAGGACGCATAAAACTCCCAGATATACAGTGTATAATTCATCTTGGTAACTATGAGACACATAAGGAAGACAAACTTATCCCACCTGTGTATCCACTCAACTAAATCTGTAATCAAGTGACTAACAAACTACCTAACAAAATAGCTGGCATTGTCACCTTGCAAGAATTTGCCTGTCTGTACTACATGGTTTCTTGTAATTGGCCACCTTGACATGTAACTAGTCGACGTCATCGTTATCGTCGACGTAACGATCTCCATCACAAGTGACTTCATCGTGAAAAAAAGGTTTATACATTATTATTAAGTAACTAACAGTCTCTCACTATGGCTATTTTTGTAAACACACAAGTTTGATATCTGGCACTATTTGTCTTAGCTTCCTAGATAAATACGGCCATTCGTCTGTTTACTATTACATCTCAAAATACAGTGTAGTAATCAGTTGCCTAATTCCTAGGTCTCGGTATTACTCCACATTCAGTGTCTTTTAGGCTTCATTTGAGCGAAAAAAGCAGTCGTCCTGGTTACAGTTTACGTCACTGAAATTAACTGACTGTCAAGTCTCGAGGGGAAGCTACACATGAACTAGGCAAAGTAACCAGGTCATATTTGGAAGGCAACATTAAATTGTCATACTGTTGCAATTAATTAATTAATTAATTTATTAATTATTTATTTAAGTGATTTTTCAGAGTGAAGAATGCTGCCGTGGAAGGAATAATAAAAGCATTCCATTTGTGCTCCCACTCACCCAATCATCAACCCATCTGTCAATCGATTGATTGATGGATTGACAGTTGGTTACAGACTTCGTGAACAGGCCAGCAAATTTTTTTTGTTGAAACAATTTCAAGAAACCATGTAGTTAAGACAGACAAGTTCTTGCAGGTTGACCCGCATACATGTATTTAAATTATTTTTTAGGTAACTTGCCTTTTAAGATT